CAATCCACGTTGTTCCAAATGGTAGGATTTTCAGTTTTTACAGATGAATACTATTCCATTGTGAATATGACTACATTATGCATTCATCAGTTGATAGAAACTTAGGTTGATCCCTTTTTTCATCTTTCGTGATTAGTATGGCAAGAAACATAGGAGAGCAGGTGGTCCTTCTGTATAATAATTTTATGTCTTTTGTATACATAGCCAGTAGTAGAATTTTTAGATATGGTAATTCTTTTTAAAATAAACTTTTTTTGAGGAGCTGCCATAGTAAGTGTACTAATTTCCATTCCCACCAACAGTGTATAAGGATTCCTTATCCTGACATTCTCTTCAGCACTTATTAACTTTATACTTCTTGATACTTGTCCTTCTTACTGGGGTGTGATACTGAGTTCTTGTAGCTGGGAATTGCGTTTCCTTGAGGATTAGGGATGTTGAGCATTTCTGGTTGTACTCCTTGCTCCTTGTTTGTATCTTTCCAAGAAATGCCTGCTTTTAGATCTGTGGCCCATTTTTAACTGGCTTGCTTAACATTGTGTTATACTCTGGACATCAATCCCTAGTCAGAGGTACAGTTGAAAACTTTCTTCCATTCTCTAGGTTGTCTCTGCACTTCACTGAGTGTTTTATTGGACCTAAAGACATTTTTAGTTTTATATAATCCCATTTGCTTATTTTTCCTTTAGTTTCCTGTGCTTTTGTGGTCTTACCCAAAAAATCCCTGCCCAATCCAAACTCTTGAAGCCTTTTGCATGTATTTTCTTCTGGTAGTTTTAGTTTTCAATTCAAATTTCTACTAATTTTCAGTTGATTTTTTAATTAGTGAAAGATAAGGGTCTAGTTCCATTCTTCTGCATGTGGGTACCTAATTTGCCTAGCATTATATTTTCAAAAGAGTGTTCTACTTTCAATGTGTATTTTTTTTATTTAAAGACAATGACAAAAAACAATAAGAATGATAAAGAATTTCCAAGCAAGATGATAGAAAATTAACAATGGTTATTATATTGCATATTGTTATCTTCAAAGTAGTTGCTTAGATTACCAGATATAGGCATGGAAGATTGATCAAACAATGTAAACACTAACTGTTCCTTTCAATGAACTAATAGAAATTAGCAGTACAACTATCTTAGCTATCTTGAGTATGTATATATATTCCTTCCTTCTTTTATCCTTTTCCTCATCCCAGTTATTCTTTCTTTTTTGCACAATTTCTTTCCTTTTCACAATATCTATCATATCTTTTGGATCTTATTCACTCTTTCAGTCTTCTGTTGAGAATCAATTGACTATAGACACCTGGATTTACCTCTCTCTCTCCATTCTATTTCATTGGTCTGTATTTCTGTTTTTATACTGGTAAATGCTTCAGAACAGTGGCATGGTCTAGGATTATTTGGTTAAGATCCAAAAGCGTGCCAAAGAGACATCGACACTCCCGTGTATTGCAGCATTATTCATAATAGTGAATGAGAGATGAAAATAACCAAAGTTAACCTGAACTATATACTGAGACCCTGTCTAAAAAAATTTTAAAAAGACAAATGCTGACAAGGGTGTGGTGAAAAAGGAACACTTTTCTACTGTTGGTGGGAATGCAGATTGGTATGACCAATATGGAAAGCAGTATGGAGAAGCCTAAAAAAACTAAAACTAGAGGTTCCACTTGACCCAGATTTCCTGTTCTTTTTTGAGGGGAGAACGGGGAGGTTTTCTGGTACCGGGAACCGAACTCACGACCTTGCGCTTGCCAGGCAGGCACTGTGCTGCTCAGCTAAATCCCCAGCCCCTTAGATTTCCTCTTCTTGATATCTCCCTGGTAGTGTTAAAAGCACCATACCCACAGTAATATATGAACAGCTATGTTTATGGCAGCACAGTTTGCAATGGTTCATCTTGCTAACAGCCCCAATTCCCGTCCACAGATGAATGGATATAGATGTGGTTTTTGTACACAACAGTATGTTGCTCTGCCATAAATAAGGATAAACTTGAGAGATTTTTAGGTAAATATATAAACCTTGAGACTATACTTTTAAGTCAAAAATCAGACACACATATTTAAGTATCACATTGTTTGTCTTGTGTGAGAAAATGAAAGGGCAAATAAAGACTAAAATGGATGACCAATAACCGGAATAAGAAGAAAATATTCATATGAGAAGGGGAGATGTGTGGAGATAGTGGGAAGGGAAGGAAGGGAAAAAGAAAATAGTGGGGAAAATGAAACCAATCTTCTGTAAATAAGGAGAGAAAGAAGGATTGAAGGGAGGAGAGGGTAATAGGGGTTGGGGAAAAAGAAAAATCAAGATATTTTATATACAGGTACAAATTCCCTTTGATAAATGTGATCATTGTATATATATTATATATATATAATATATATGCACCAATAAAATTAACTTCAAAAATAAATAATAAATGTTTGAGATAGATATATTTAGCCTGATTAAATGTTATACAGTGCACATATATCCAAAATATCACATGGTACCACATTATTATGCACACTTTCATGCTTTCATGTTAGTTTAAAAGAAATTTAATTATAAAGTTTCAAAAACAAAGACTACTATACAAAAAATGAATAAATAAAAACTTGTATTTCCCCAAATCATAGATATGTGGAGATAAAAGAATTATATTTTTAATAAGCAAAAAATTAATCCAAGGTGAAGGATATAGTTGAATATTGCGTTTGGTAGAAAAGCATTAAAAATAGGCAATTTTATTCAGAATAAGTAAAACTAATTTTTGAATATTACAATGTCCACAATGAGGCATTAATTTGAGGAAGGATTTGTTTAGATAACAACTATACTTTCAAAAAGAACAGATGTCACATTTGGATCTTTATTTCATTTTTCTTAGTTGGTTCTTTCTAACTTTAATCTGGCAATTTAAATGTTTCCTTCTCAGCAATACATTTTCACTCATTTTGTATAGTTTATGTCCTGGGCAGATGCTTTCAGTGTAGCTACCATGTAGAAAGCAATTTCCTGTGATTTGAAACACCTCTATTTACAAACAAAGAGGCAAAGATCCCTGGTTTTATGGCACTAATAATCTAAAGAGTAGTTTTGGGGAGGTCATCCAATAAATAGTAAACATAATACATAGGTCAATTAATGAAAAGGATTATTATCTGTGAAAAAATAACAAAAACAAAATAGAGATAATTGGGAGCACTGAAACACGACAGTCAGGACAGGTATTTTTAACATAAAATGTGTGTGAGAGAGAGAACGGTGAACACTTTGAAAGAAAGTAATTTTAATGGAAGACATAAGAAATCCCCTGTCTATACGGGAATGCCTTGAGTCCTGAGAAGAACCTGAGTTGGTGTACTGAAGACACTAGAAAATAGAATTTTTAGAGAAAATTAGAGAAGAAAAAAGGAGAGGGAGACAGGCCTTAAGAGGTAGAAATCTGAGATGCTCAGGAAAGTGACCAATAGCCACAAGGTACTTAGGGACTAAGGATCACACTAGATACTTGGTGTCTCTCAAAGGTGAGGGGCAGCACCTGCATGCCTGTTATTTTGGTTTTTCTCTGGTACCGGGAACCGAACTCACGACCTTGCGCTTGCCAGGCAGGCGCTTTTGCCGCTGAGCTAAATCCCCAGCCCCTCTGCATGCCTGTTATGATGTGAAAACACACACATAAGGCATCAGGCAGAACCTGTGTCTCCCTCCCTACCCACATGTTTTGCATTTCCTCACTTCTAAAACGTTTGGATACATAAACTTGATATTTTTTATTACCCTCAATATTTTACACATACTTGACTTTGTCCAAACAATCATCTTATGATCTTTTTGAATACACCCATATAATTCAAGACTTACGTCACATCCTACCTCTCATGCAGTGTCTTTACTGAATACCTCAGATAGATATCAATGACCATTCTCCCAGTTTTCAGTGGTGGTGTCCGAGTGCCTTGCTACAATTTTATAGCCATCATCAAGGAGTCATAGCCTCTACTACACTATAGGGACTGGAACCAAGTTGCCTGGATTTAAATCCAAATTTATCACTTGCTGGAATTGTGACTTTCATTAGAGCTTTTGTAACCAGCTATATTTCTCAGTACAGGAAATGGAGGCTGACACAACACAGAAGGTACAAAGAAAAATTTGTTGGCTAATATTGACAAACAAGTTGTGAGAAATGAATGAAAGGTTGTCCATAGAAATTTCTTCTGCCTGTACAAATGGAAAGATTTCTCCCCAAATTATGATATTCAGAATGAATCAGAGTTAAAAATGATAGCTCCTAGAAAAGCATGATTTATTAAATTGTTAGCATATATCAGAAACCAAGCTACAAGCTTTTTATCACAATATTTAATGGCCAGATAGATCTTGTGGTAAACGTTTAAGTTGAAATTCAGAAAGGTTAAGTCTTATCTTTCTAACATTAAGTCTCATCCTATCAAAGTCTAGTTAAAAATACAGAGTGTTTAAACTTTGGGACTAACTAAATCCAACACTCAGGTTGTCTCTCCGCCTAGGTTTTCCTAGTAACTTTTGTCTCCTCTACCTGAGATCCACTTTTCTAGTACCTGTCCTCCCTTTTCACATGGGTTGCATCTCATGCATTCCCGGCAACATCTAGAGTCTCAGTATCCTGAAGCCCAGGACACTGTCATATTCAACTCAGCTTCCCTCCTATTCAAGTCAAAGTATAAATAACAATAGCAAATAAACTACAATCTCACAATAAGAAATGAACAAGTGAGTGAATAAATAAATTATTAAATGTACCAATAATGCAATACATTTTTTCATTTGGTCATTAATATGACAGCTTTTTTTTCCTCTATCCATTTTAAATGATGTTCTCAAACTGGTAACACAGAAATAAAACAAAGAAGATTTGCACATTCTTGGATGAATTCTAGGGCCTTTTAAAAGTTAATAAGCAAAATTCCAGAAACCATCTAAATGTAGTGTGTTTTAATCAATCATGGAAAATTACAACACTGGGTCTGTGTCAGAAACATGTTTAATCTGATAGAATGTGCCTTAGTGAAGAGGATGTGCTTGCTCATGTTATGACAGCCTCTTCTTTACACATACAATGTGTAGGTTGGCTCTGTTCCACACTTTATCATGCTAATCTCACTGGATATATGACTCCATAAACATTTAGGAGAAACATAAATTATGAAGAACAGTTAGGTTATCATTCTGAATTTTCTACTTTGGCAGATCTTTGCATACAAGAAATATTTCATAACGCATACTTGCAAGATTTCAGAAAAAAAGTTATATATCAGAGTGACAATATCCTGTCACTCACACCTTTTAGGCATTTCTTCTTTACTACCTTCTCCTCACTCCAAGAAATCTATTTCATGCATCATTTGCTTTAGATAAAGCCAATCTTTCTCCAAGTAAAAATTTGTTTACACCTTCCCGAATCTGCTTGGTTTTGACTCCATAAACAATGGGATTCATGGTAGGAGGAAGTAGTAGGTAAAGGTTAGCCACAATGATGTGTATGTGGTGAGGAATATTGTGTCCTCCAAAACGATGAGTGAAAAAAGTAAAAAAGGCAGGCACATAAGTGATTACAATAGCACAGATATGAGATGTACAGGTGCTGAAGGCTTTGTGACGAGCATCTGCTGAGGACAGACTCACTACAGCCCGCAGGATCATAGTGTAAGACACAGAGATACAGCAGATGTCAAACACACCAATCAGGAGAGCAACCATGAGACCATAGACAGCATTGACCTTGACATTGCCGCAGGAGACCTTGGCCACTGACATGTGGTCACAGTAGGTATGGGGGATGAGGTTGCCCTGGCAATAGGGCAGGCGCTTGGTGAGGAAAGTGAATGGGATGATGAGCGTCACACTCCTCAAGAAGGTGGCCAGAGCAGCCTTAGCAATGACAGGATTGGTGAGGATGGTGGTATAGCGTAAGGGGTAGCAGATGGCCACATAACGGTCAAGGGCCATGAGCATGAGCACCCCAGATTCCATCCCAGTCAACATGTGAACAAAAAACATCTGTGCCAGGCAGGCATTAAAGTCAATCTCCTTGAGGTTGAACCAGAATATGCACAGCATGTTGGGTACGGTGGTAGTGCACAAGGTGGCATCAGTGAAGGACAGCAGGGCCAGGAAGTAGTACATGGGCCGGTGCAGTGCTTCCTCATGGCTGATGAGGTAGATGAGCCCGCAGTTCCCCAGGACAGCAACAATGTACATGAGGCAGAATGGGAGGGAGATCCAGATGTGTGCAGCTTCCAGGCCAGGAACACCATTCAAGATGAAGACTCCCAGGGTCAGGCAGGAACTGTTGGCTCCAGACATACTGGCTGACAAGAGGCGAACATTTTATGCTGCTTCACAGATATGGCTTTCTGCATAAAAGAAGGAGAAAAGGATTAAAAACCAGATAAGAGAAACTAGTCTGGACAGTATGACCCACAAATACTATTAGTATTGACCTTCTGATAACAAGCGCTATTTTTTAACTCCTGAGAGTTTTTGAGCTGTAGTATCTAAAAATCCTACCACAGGACAACCACATGGTCCTCAGTGCCCCCCTGCAAACTGAGTAACTAGCCTCATTATCCAAATTTCTCTGCTAGTACACATCCTCCACTCTAGAACACTGAAAACCATGAGCTGGGAGGCAACAGTCCTCATCCTCCCAGCAAGCCGTTTCTATTCTCTCTGCTCAGATTCTTCTCTGCCTTTTTGCACCTAAGACCTCTCACTAAAGTTACAAGAGTATATTTGCAGGAGTACCCTCATCTTTTCGAGCCTATAAGCAGTTTAACTTTCCCATTTTAACAGTGTCTCAAAGATTGGCCATTTGGTCCTGTCTTGATGAATATGAAGGTTGTACTTACATTTAAAATGTCTCAATAATGTCCCTTATAAATTTCTCAAGATAATACAAAATAGATTCTTAATAAAACATACTGTTCAGGACCAAATAAATATTTGATTTGATAAAAACTTATTCTATCTAGTACTCAAACTCTATCTGATGTCTTTAATATATTTTTTCACACTGTTGAGCTTCAAAGGAATTTCTTCACAAGAAACAGGAAAATATTTATCCAGGTGTAGTGGTGTATGCCTGTAATCTCAGCACTCAGGAGGCTGATGCAGGAGGATCACTGCCAATTTGAGGCCAGCCTGGGCTACATGGTGAGCTGAAGGCCAGTGTGAAATGCACAGCAAGACCCTGTCTCAAAAAAAAAAAAAAAAGGAAAGGAAAAAAACAGGAAAATATTTAAAGTTCTAAAGCATTAGAAAGTTTAATGTAAATTCTATAATTATTTTATTAAAGACTTGGATTCATCGGGGTACAACATTTTCCTCTTTGACTTCTCTGCTTTTTTACTTTTTAAAAATTTAGTTCCATGTCTATTCTCAATATTAGATTTATTATCAGGAAGCCAGAAGAGTTCTAAGGATTATTGATTGATCTGAACAGACACTCAGTACAAAAATAATATCCACATCTTTGAATTGTTATTCCTTGTAAGGCTGGAACTGAGTGGTATCTAAAGGGCTTATAGGTTCTGGGGTATCTGAGGAAATTTGAAGTTTCTTAATGATTAAAATATTTCTTTTACTTAAAAAATGAAAATGATGTTTTTAAGAGATTACAGGCATGCACCACCACATGTGGCTAAATATTTTCCTATTTTTTGTCAAGGACTTCCTTTGAAATTCAACAGTGTGAAAAAATATGTTAATGACATCAGATAGAGTTTGAGTACTAGATAGAATAAGTCCTTATCAAATCAAATATTTATGTGGTCCTGAACAATGTGTTTTATTAAGAATCTATTCTGTATTATCTTGAGAAATTTATAAGGGACATTATTGAGGCATTTTAAATGTAAGTACAACCTTCATATTCATCAAGACAGGACCAAATGGCCAATCTTTGAGACACTGTTAAAATGGGAAAGTTAAACGGCTTATAGGCTCGAAAAGATGAGGGTACTCCTGCAAATATACTCTTGTAACTTTAGTGAGAGGTCTTAGGTGCAAAAAGGCAGAGAAGAATCTGAGCAGAGAGAATAGAAACAGCTTGCTGGGAGGATGAGGACCATGGCTTGCTGGGAGGATGAAGACCGTTGCTTGCAAGCTCATGGTTTGTAATGTTGTAGAGTGCACATCCATCTGAAGTTGATGTCATGAAGCAAAGCCATCAGAGCAAAGTAAAACACATCTTGGCACTCAGAAAACTGCATAGACGTTTACATCTTTAAATGTAGATTCCAGGGCAGTGAAACCACAAAGACTGCAATAGTCTGAGCTTTCTGAATTTCGCTGCTTCAAGCTCTCCTGCTTCCTTAAGTACACAGAGCTCATTAAAGTGGAAGTGCAAAAGAATGACAAGTTTCAAGGATTCATGGGTTTTCATTCCCAACTGATAAGGTCTCATACAAAATGTCCTTTCTAATAAAGAAATTCTCATAATGATGCTTCAAAAAAGTCATCATATGGAGAAACCGTCATTTCATAGTTCTAAACCAGAGGAATTTAAAGGTTAAAATGTTAACCGTTCACCCTTTTATATAAGTGCAACACATAAATAAAATCTAAACAAATGTATAAAATCAGATAATGTGTTTATATGTATGAATTTGATATGAGGAAATGAAAATGAGTCTAAATTTGGAAATTAAAAGGGTCATTACCCCATAAGACATGAAAGGGATAGAAAAATACATTGCTTCTTTTTGTTTTCTGTTCACTGTTCCCATATTCCAAACTATTATATTTCTAGCCAACACTGTCTTTGCATTTTCCCAAAGTAGGTATTTTTGAAAATGGCTCAAACTCACCTGGGTGCTAGACACAACCACATCCCTATGCATGGCTGAAAAATCCTTTGGAGTTTTTTGAATACAGGAAGGACATCTTCTTACATAGGATTTCTAGTTTCCCTGGGGACTCTTTCTTTAGCAAGGTATCTCTAAGCTTACTGACTCTCCATAATTAAGTGTCTCAGTAGGTACTGTTGGAGGGAGAATGAAATTTGAGTCTGAACATAAGAGTTTGCAATTTTGAGTGGAAAAAAAATAAAATGTCTTTTCTCAAGTGAGAACTGTAACCACCAAGTCTGGGGCTGATGAATGCCATTTTTTAAAATGCTGTTTCTCATATACCCTGATGTAGAAAATTTGGGAACTATAGAAAGTATAATGAAAAGTTGAAAAATCACTTGTAATCAAAGAATTAAGATGTGTTAGATACATGACTAACTTCCCATGGTGAGTGTAATAAATATGTACTGCAAACATATACTGATAAAGATAAAATTTAAAACAGAAATCAAAAAACTAAGCACAGAGACATAATCACTCTAAAAAGTTTCCTTTAGTTCACTCTATCCTTTTCTAGTTATTATGTATAATATTCTGAGTTTTTAGAAAAACAAGTTCCATTTGATGTGCAGTCGTATAGTTTCTTTCTCTAATATTATCTTGTGGACATTTTTTCCATTCATTATCTAAGCTTTGAAAGCAAACTTTTAATATCTAAACATAATATTATCATTTAATAGTCCTACAAATTTAATTATGGATTTGTCTTTCTTTTATTTTTTTCTTTTTAAGACAGGGTCTCACTATGCAGTTCAGGCTGGCCTTGAACTCATTTTGTAGCCCAGATTCGTCTTGAACTCACAATGACCCTCCTTACTCAGCTTCCTGGATGCTGGGATTACAGGCACGCACTACCACACCCAGCTAATTATGAATTTTACTCTTAAATATTTGTTTATATTTTTCTATAAAACATAATTACTCTATGACTATCCTAATATACTTTGCATTACTAATTTTTCCTGTCTACATATAGCTAGAAAAATTATTGAAGTTTATGAGGTGAAAAGTCATGGGAAGTTTTATATGTGTAAATTCTGGAAAAATTATCTTTATAAAATTTGCATTTATTTTAACCTCTACAAAGTGATTGAGTATTTTGTTCCTCTTTGAGTACTATTGAACGCTTTCCTTTACCAAGTTGGACTAGTTGGAATATGTTTTCACTGTTAAGTTTAAGTAAATTAGCTCTAGTAGAAGTGATTATGAATAGTTCTTCCTGTTTATCATGTTTTTTGTTTAACTGGTTGTTTTTCTCATCCATCTCCTTATCTGTCCTCAGTGCAGAAGTCAGTGTTTATTTAGTGATTGTAAACACTTTCAATACTAAAATACCATCTCCTTGTTGTAGTTAGTATGCATTTTTCCAAGGTAGTATTTGATTAAAATTTATGTTGTGATGAAAAGAAATTTTACTATTTGACATTATCTTCAGATTGCTAAAAACCTATAAAACAATTTTTCTATACTTCATTCATTATTTGAAGTCAAATTGCACCATCCCAATAAAGTCATGTTTCACAGTTTCTATGAAATTCACATACAATGAAATACTACTACAATCTCCTGTATTTCTAGAAGTTGGTTTTGTGAACACTAAAAATTTTAATATATTACTTGAGCTGTTGCTTTGTCTTTTAGCATTAGCTATATTACAAGATGAATATATAGACTCAAGGTAACTATTAGAAAGAATGCCTTAGTTAAAAAAAATAAGATTTGTTTTGCTAAAAAAAATAGCATCTACACAAATTTTGACAAAATTTTATTTTATTTTTTATTTTAAATATAAAAGAATGATAACATATTAACAAACACACATACATTTACAAACTAACACATAAGCAGTACAAGTAATACAGAATTTCAGACAAGGTGATAGGAAATTAACAACGGTTGTCGTATTACACAGTGATATCTTCAAATTGGTTACTCAGATAAACAAATATAGGCATGTAAAATGGATCAAACACTTAAACAGTAACTGTTCCTTTCAGTAAAGCAATAGAAATCAGTAGTACAACTGTCTTAGCTATCCTGTGTGTGTGTGTGTGTGTGTGTGTATATTTCCCTTCTTTCTTTTCTGTTTTCCCTCATCCAGTTATTCTTTCCTTTTGAGCATTTTTTCCCTTTCACAATATCTATGGTACCTTTTAAACTTTATTCACTCTTTCAGGTTCTTACACTAGTGAGACAATATGGTGTTTACACATGCAGGTCTGATTTATTTCACTTATGAGTATGGACTCTAGTTGTGTCCATTTACCTATAAAAGCCTCAAGTTTATCTTTCTTTATAGCTGAGTAAGATTCCATCTCACTCCAGAAAGAATGGCTATCATTAAGAAATCAACCAATAATAAATGCTGGTGAGGCTGTGGAGAAAAAGACCCCTTCTCCACTGCTGATGGAGGTATAGACTGGTGAAACTACCGTGGAAATCAGTTTGGACATTCCTCAGTAATCCAGGATTAGTGGTCCCATTCAATCCAGCTATTTCTCTTTTGGTATTTTTCTAGAAGAATGAACAACATCATATCACAGTGATATATGTGCACCCATGTTTATAGCGACACAATTTGTAATACTACATCGTGGAAGCGCACAAATGCCCATCCATTGAGGAATGGATAAAACATGCGTGATACTATCATAGGAACAGACATAAAAATTAATGGAAAAGAATTGAGTTGAGAAATAAACCCATATATCCATAGCCAATTGATTTTTGATAATGATATGATAATCTTTTGATAATGGTACAATAATCCTTCAGTGCAGGAAAGAAATCTCTTCCATAATTGGTATCAAGATAACAGGATATCCATATGTAAATAATGAAGCTACACTCTTTTTCTACCCTATACAAAAAATTAAATTAAACTAGATCAAAGCATAAATATAAATAAATAGTAACATTAGTAGTATTCTTAGGATAAATCATGGAGGTACTTCTTTTTTGTTTTTGTTTATATTTTTTGGTACCAGGAATTGAACTCAGGACTTTATGCTTGTTAGACAGGCACTGTGCCACTGAACTTTATCTGCAGCATCATGACCTCAAATTAAGTTGTTTATATAAGAAAACAAAAAATAATTAAATAAATGAGTTACACTTCATCAGGATCAAATACTTTTGTGAATCACACAACACTATCAAGAAAGTAAAATACAGTCCACAGGATGGGGTAAATTACTGAAAAATCATGTATCCAATAAGGGCCTAGTATCTAGACTATAGGAAGAACTTAAAATGCAGCAAATGTATTTGACTCAGTCAAAAAATGAGCAAATGACTTCAATACACATTTCTCTAAAGATGAACAATAGGCCAATGTGCCCTTTAATAGATGCTCAACAGCATCAGTCATTAGGAAAATGCAAATTTGAAACACAGCAAAACACAATTTAGCTCATACTAGGATGAGTGTAAATTTAAGAGTCAAAAGATTATAAATGTTGCAGAGGACGTAAGAAGTGGGAACCCATGATGGGTAAGTTTAATTGTCAGCTTCACTGGATTTAGAGACTCCTGTAGAGGTAATTGGATCATGGATGTCTGTACTCATCAGCACATTAACCCACTGATGTTCACAGCTGAAAGCACCTTAGGAGGTGCATTCTACCTCCCATTGGAGGTAGATCAGTGGGAGCATAACTTTGGAAGGTGCATCTCTCATTGGCACTGCTATCCTGCAGTGCTTCCAAGCCACCCTGAAGTGAACAGCTTTGCTCTACCACACACTTCCACCATTATCCTTCTGCCTAGACTGAATCCTCTGAAGCCATAAGCCAAATAAACTTCTGTTCCTTTAGGTTGCAAGTGTTAGGTAATTTGATGTGGTCAACTAATACACAACCTTCATACATCTCTTGCTGCAATATAAACTTATGCAGACATCATGGAAAGCAGCTAAGTATTTCCTCAAAAAATCAAACTTGGAATTATCATAAGACCCCAAATTCCACTTCTTCGTATATAACTCCCAAATTCCACATCTTCGTATATAACTCCAAAATTTGGAAACAGCTGTTCAAACAAAATCTTATGCAAAAACGTGCATAAAAGCACTAGTGAAAATACTTCAAATATGGAAATAACTCAAATATTTATCAATGCTACATGTATAAATAAAATGCAAGTACATATACATACAGTTGAATATTTCTTGGTCATAAAATGAAACCACTAGGCTAAGTGAAAGAAGCCAAACACAAAAAGTAACATATTGAATGATACCATTTATGTGGACCATACAGAATAATTAAATACAGAAAATTCATAGAGACAGAAAGGAGAGTAGTGGCTTCCAGGGGATGGAAGGAGGAAGGAATGGGACACTCCTCACTCGTGATGCTGTTTAATGGATACGTCATTTACTTTTTTTATTTTGTGAGTGATGAAATTGTTCTGGAACTAGATAGCAGTGATAACTGCATAACACTCTTAATTCACTGTTGCTGAATATTGTGACCTTTCAAGTGGTCAGTTTTATGCTGCTTTTTGTTAAAACAAAAAAAGTTAATGGTTATATCAATTCACAACAGAACCCAAAGGAGTATATCAAGCAACTCATTGTGTGATAGAAAGATAAGAAAAGACAAAAGTTAGGAACTGTCAAAAATATATGAAACCACAAGTGCTGGCAAGCGATTGAGTTATGGGGAAGAATGTTCACTGAGATTTCTCTAGAGCTTCTCTTCAGCTGGTGTAAAGCCAAAGGGGAATCAATATTCATTTTAATGGTAAACTGTCTGGCATCTGGAGACTAAGTTAGTAATCTTCTTCCCCAGCACACTCACACACAAACACTTTATTAACATCTCCCAGGGTACATTGATGTCCTTTAAAGTTATTTATATGTGTTTTCAAAACTGAACAAAGAGTTATCAAATGCCTCCTTAGGTCCAAGGAAGGAATCTTGGTAAGTCTTTGCAATGCATGCTTAGAACTGGAATTTGGACTCACTGAAATTGAGTTAAGATTGAGAGCACCGGAGGTGGGAATAAAATGGTACACATTACTGCTTTAAAGGAGACAAAAGGAGGAATATGTTCAGCATGAATTGGGAAGAAAAATACTTTCTGGGCACCTACAATATTTCAGACATATATGACCTCATCTACCCCACTTGATAGGAGTGTCTTCATTTATATGTGCACTGGAAATACCCAATGTTAGTGCAGAAGATAAGCATTCTATAAAAATCAGAATATGCCTTTGGAGCAGAGGTTTTTACGCTGTGTGCCATCAGTCAGTCTTGGTACATATTCAAATCACATTGCAGTGACTACACACCTATGTAATATGGCCCCAATACTCTCTTGAATAGGAACTGAAGCTGAGGAAGAAATTTTATAGATTACTATTTTCCCTTAGCAAATTTATCTTCCAACTTTGAGATGCCTTATTTTATTTTTTTTTGAAATTCTGTATCGTTTTTATTTTTTCTCTTTTTTTATTTTAAAAATAAAAGGAGGAAAACATGAACAGACAGACAACCTTTTACAAAATAGCAAAAGAACAGTACAGACAATACAGAGTTACAAAGTGGTAGGAAATTAATGATGCTTGTTGTATTACATATTGATATCTTCAAAGTGATTTCTCATGAAAACAGAGACATGCAATATTGATCAATCAAGGACTCATTGACAGTTTCTTTCAGCCAAGAAATACAAGACAATAGAACAACTATGTTAGCTATCCTGTATATACATACATACAAAATTTCTCCTTCTTTCCCTTCGTTTTCCCACATCCCAGTTGCCCTTTACCCTTGAGTGCTTTCCTATCATTTCACAATGTCTATCATACCTCCTAGTTTAAATTAACTCTTTCAGGTTTTACACTAGTGAAACAATGTGGAAAACAATACTTTTTTTTTTTTTGTACTAGGAATTGAACTCAGGACCTTGTGCTTGCTAGGCAGGCACTGTGCCGCTGAGCCATATCCCCAGCCAAGACACCTTACTTTTAGATATGCTGGCCCTAAGAAATGTGTAGATCTGCTTTTAGACTCTCAGTTCTATTCCATTCTCTCCTCTCCTCCTCTTCCACATCCTCTTCTTCCTCCTCTTACTCCTGTTTTTTGTCCTCCTCCTTCTTTTCTCTTGTTTTTGCTACTAAAACACAGTAATTATCAGAAAGCCTTATACAAAGTCTCAAGATCTAATATTCATTCTTCTTCCAAGAAATTTTGACTTTTCTGATCTTTTTATTCATTCGCACATCTTACATTCTTTTCTCATTACTTCCATTAGCAAAACAATTTTAAACAATGGAAAGTTAATTAAGTTATCAAAATCTTTCTCTTCCATAAAACTAGATACTGGCAGAATTTGTGTCAAGGGTGTGTGTGGAGATCTAAATGAGATAATATATGTAAATAATTGTAGGCACAATGTCTGAAAAATAGTAGATACCAAATTAATGATAGCCATTGTTACTGTGGTGGGGGTTATTATTGTCAATTTATTTCCTCATGTCTAGGTCTTAAGGTAGAGGACAGTAAGTGCATTAACTCGCCCTCAGCCCATAAACATGATGCTAGCTTCTGTTCGGCAGTTTAGCCCATCATACTTTCAGTCTAGATGAACAGTGTTAGTAGGATCTATGGAGGGAAAATAATTCAAGTCCTTTAGGCTCTGATTCCTAATATCAATTCTCTGTTTCAGGATTTTAAAAGATGTTGTAGATGTCAACTGAATCTGAATGAATTGCCCCAGCAGTAATTGACAACTTGTAATACCATGACTACATTCAACTTGTAGAAAAATGTGTTCTCCCAATGCCACTGAGCTTCACCCTTCTTCATTCCTATTGCTGGGGATTCCAGGACTGGAAGCTGTGCAAATCTGGCTTGGCTTTCCCTTCTGTATTGTGTATCTGATTGCTCTTGTTGGAAACCTTGTCATTCTGTTTCTGATCTGGACTGATCACAGCCTCCACCAACCCATGTTCTACTTTCTGGCCATGCTGTCAGCATTTGATCTGAGTCTCTCTACTGCTACTATCCCCAAGATGCTGGGCATCTTCTGGTTCGGCCTTCGAGAACTGTGCTTTGGATGCTGTGTTGCTCAAGTCTTTTTTATCCACTTTTTTACAGTCATGGAAAGCATTGTACTTCTTGCAATGGGCTTTGATCGCTATGTGGCTATTTGCAACCCTCTCAGGTACACCATGATCCTCACCAACAGGATCATTGGTGTCATTGCTGCGGTTGTGGTTCTAAGAAGCTTATGCATGATTGCTCCCATCATTTTCCTCCTCCTAAGGCTGCCTTACTGTGGACATAGAATCATCCCTCATACCTACTGTGAGCATATGGGAGTGGCACGTCTGGCATGTGCCAGCATCAGTGCCAATGTCTACTATGGTCTTGGAAATATTTCCATCTTATTTTTGGATGTGCTATTTATCATTATCTCCTATGCTAGGATTTTATGCACAGTCTTTTACCTTCCTTCCCAAGATGCTCGCCTGAAGGCTCTTAATACCTGTAGCTCCCATATCTGTGTCATCTTAGCCTTCTTTGGTCCAGCTCTTTTCTCCTTTCTCACTCATCGTTTTGGTCATAACATCCCTCAGTACATCCATATCCTCCTAGCTAATCTCTATGTGGTCATACCACCCGCCCTCAACCCAGTCATTTATGGAATTAGAACCAAGCAGATCCAAGAGCGAGTGAAAGGTCTCTTTGCTAAAAAATACTGAATAAAAAGTAATTCACTCAGGTCATGAATGCATAAGATCTAAAATTAATAAAAAATTATTTTTATCAAAATTGACTATACATATATATGGATATTTATGACAAAAATCTGGCTGTTTCTCTTTCAAGGTATTTTCTAACATAAATAGTTATTTCTAATCACCTTCAAGTGTATGTTGAATGATAAATAAATAGAAATAAGATAATATCTGCATCATTATTGAGAAATAAGCAAAGCTCTAAAACAAATGAAATATAGCGTTTCTAGAGTAAGTAGGGCTACTTTTTTTCAAAAGAGCAAAAAGTTATGCTTTCCAAACTCCAGGTCAACCAGTGCATTGAGCTGAGATCAAGATAGTAAATGTACGCATTCAGTTATGGAGTAGATAGGAATATAGTTCTTCTTTGTCTTTTGTATACACAGAAACATTGTTACTGCTTCTACTATTCTTGAAGAAAAAGCATAAAATATTTTTATTTATGGTAGTATTGTGCAAGCAAAAAGGAGCTACACTGACAACACTTGTCTCACAGTGAGAAGCATATCACAATTCATCACAAAGTAAAAAAAGAAAAATGAAGAAATTTTCAGAAATACGATAAATTTTTTTCCAAAGGAGGAAAATTTTTCAAGGAACAGTTAAAAGAGTATCAGACAATACAAAAACATGATTTATGCACAAAGGAAAGCAGTAAAAGTTATAATTAAACAACTGTTGAAAACTTGACTGTGGTAATATGACTTTTAGGACAGGGTATCCAGTAAGGATAAAACTAGCTTATTTTGGATCAATGCTTCTGCCAAGAAAAATACTTTAAAAATCTGGACAGAATGCTTACAGTGTATTTTAAGACATTGGAGAATAACAATTAGCAAAGATGAAACTGTCAAGATCTCAGGATATAACAGAACTAACAAAGATGAAACCTGTCTCTAGTCCTGCTTTTCTTCCTAATCATGCACATTGCATTTTCTATTTTAAAGGTGCTCTCTGAGAGAGTGATACTGTGAGTGCTTTAGCAGTACCATGAATTGAGTAGGACTAATCATTGCTATTTAACCAATGAAGTTTGCCAAGGAATACAGGAAATAGAATACCATGGGAGAACCTGAGGCATGAAGGTAAATCAGATCAGACCAAACATCACAAAGTAGTGTGTAGCGTAGTTTAGAATTAGCTCAATTCTCTATTAGAATAAGTCAGTGTACCATGACTGTAATGGTCTACCAGGAAACCAAACTAAAACCCTCTTATATAGGTAACAATATTAATCTTCAAAGTATTTTGACGTTTTCCTTCATAATGTTGAGAATTCCATTTTATACATATACATATATACAGATGTATATGGAAAGGTAGCAATTACCAAAACAAATTTAAAAGATCAGATTAAAATATTCAAAAATAGACAAAAGAATCGTGATCATTATAGATAATAAATTGTGTGTCAAGATGAAGGATATTAGCCAGGAGCTAGAAAGTAATAGTAATGTTGAAATTTATTTTTAGAAGTTGCATTAATTTAAACTATGTATGTAATAGGTGAGGTAGCAGTAAATATACTCATATGAAAAAATAATAAGCAGATATTAATCAGAAGGAATAAGCAAATATTAATCAAAAGGAAATATTCATAATGAAACATAGAGAAATAATTTGATAGAAAATATTTTTTAAATAGGGGCCATTCAAAGTATTGAATTTATTTACACATATGATTGGATAGTGGAAAGAAGTTAGGTATGAGCAATATTTGAAGAATGAAGATTATTATACTGATGAAAGAAATCAAGCCAAAAATTAAAATAAACTTCTAAAAGTTTAAAAAAAAAGTCATCAAGGATTGTCAAAGTGAAACCAGTGGAAAATAGGTAAAGAGAATACCTTCAAAGCAGTCAGAGAGAGCACAGCATCTTGAACGAAAATCAGACTCAAAGCAAACACCTCAAAAGAAACTGTGAAATCAAGAAGACAGTAAAATAATATTCCCAAAAATATAAGAAAAAATATAAACTACTAACCTACATTACTGCACTCACTGAAGATGTTTTAGGACATAGAGATCTAGGTAAAAAACTTATTCTTTTCAATATGCTTTAAAAATAACATTAAAAATACTGCATGCTTTGAGTTAAATCCAAGTAATAATGCATAAGACTTCAAAATAAAGTAAGGAATTACTGAGAACAATTTTAAATACATAAATATATGAAGATGGAGCAGGTAGACAATTTGAAATAATCAATATTTAAAAACCCTCTATATTTGAGTTATGTATTCAAAGCAATGAATATTTCTGTGAATTTGTCTATTTGGTTTTGTTTTCAAGCTGTAACATATTTTAATTTAATAGAACAGGCAATCTTGAACAACATTTTAGGATTTATAGTATAATATTCTCCAATTTATTCTATAATTTCCATGATTAAAATTATTGGCTACTTGTACAAGTGTAAACAAATCGGTAGAATGTTGTAGTACAGAAATAAAAACATGGATACATGAATGTATGACTGATACCAAACAGCACTGCAGAACACTGGAGACTGTATCATCTTTTGCTAAAAATGGAGCAGCACCAAATGAACAACCAATATAGATCAATTGAATACTGAAAAATAAGTAATCCCTGGCCTTGTTCTGCCATTTCAATGTGATGTTTAACATTTTCCCTTCAAGAAATGAGCTTATTTTCCCACCTTTTGAATTTGAGTTGATACGTATTTTCTTTTGAAATCAGTAAACCATGCAGAGGCTTGTAAAGGGATTGTGAGTTAGGATTTCTTTCTCCACCCATGAAACTCTGAAACCATCATGACTGAGTCGTAGTCAGCCTGCTGAAGGAAAAAAAGCTATGAGAAAGGGAACTAAAATGCATCAGTTCTTAGCTTTCCACTTACTGAGAGGTGTGAGTGAGAACAGCCTTGATCATCCAGCCAAAGTAAGACTGGACATGAAGTGAGAAAGTCCACCCCAAAATAATTCTTCATTCAACCCTAACAATCTTTTTCTTTTTAAATTTTAAAAATAAAAGGAGGAAAACATGAACAGACAACCTTTTACAAAATAGCAAAAGAACAGTACAGACAATACAGAGTTACAAACAAAGTGGTAGGAAATTAACGATGCTTGTTGTACTACATATTGATATCTTCAACATGGTTTCTCATGAAAACAGATAGAGACATGCAATATTGATCAATCAAGGACTCACTGACAGTTTCTTTCAGCAAGGAACTAGAAAACAGTAGAACAACTGTGTTAACTATCTTGTATATACATACATACAAAATTTCTCCTTCTTTCCCTTTTCTTTTCCCACATCCTAACTGCCCTTTACCCTTGAGTGTTTTCCTATCATTTCACAATGTCTATCAACCCTAACAATCTTGAACTAAAAAAATTTTCATTATTTTAAGCTGTTAACTTTACAGAGATTTATTTTGTCCTAAAAGCTAAGTGATGTAACAGGATAGAAAATGCAAAATCTATAAAGGGAAGTTTTGATACACTGGACCAAATTCAATAATCCTCTGTGCTAATGAGTGAGCAAACCGAGAACATATAAGGGTTTTCTGGACAGCACACAAATAAAGTGGTTATGCATTTAGATTGAGAACACTGATCATCATTGTCTTCAACCACATTCGCCTGCACAGAAGCAGGTAGGGAGTAAGTTGAGAATTGAATTAACCAGTGCTGGGCATTTTCCAGTAGAACACAATACAAGGAGAGAGGAAACAATGATACATGTTGGAAGTGACTGCAGTCTTGAGGCATATTGCCCAACGTGTGCAAAAGGGGAAATTCAGGCATTGTGAACTAAAAATAAAGTAAAAGGTCATAAGTTTGATGGATCGCATTACTAAAAGAATTCAATAGCTTTTTAGTGAGTTTCAAAATAAAATGAGATAGAGAAATTGAAAGTGGTTGTCTTGGAGATAGAGGTCTTAAAATTATGATACTCACAAGGTCCAGTTATAGGTAAACTGAAGGCCTTGTTTTTATTCATAGTGCCAAGTTAAAATAAAGGACAAAATTACAAAAAGGAAAAACATCGATAAAGTAAATAACCAAGTGATTACAATGACAGTATATAAATGTGTAGAATCAACATGATTCCTAAGAATGAAAAAAAAGTGAGAATTTGAACACTGCTAGTAGGACTTCAAATTAATAATTTGACCAAATTAAACATAAATTTGTCAATATTTAATAAAGTTTAAAATGTGATACCATATTGACTTGTAATGTGATTCTCGAAATATTTTATAAATTTTACATAGGCATATAAGGAGTTATACCAAGAAGAAAAGTTTCAACATAGTTAAAAAAAGAAGAATCATATTGGTAAAATATCCATCAAAGTAACAGTGAGTGATACTAACTGTATTATGTTGTGACAGTTAAAACTGGATTGTCAACTTGACTGGTTTGAGAAATCCCTAGGGTATTAGCGAATCATACTTCTGGGTGTTTGGATAGGTCACGAAAGTGTGACCTTGGATACTATATCTACTTCCTGTTCCTTCCTCTCTGACATTCTACCCATTTCCTATGTTTCCTTCCCTCTACAAACTCAGGAACTTTGCTCCACCGTGTCCTTCTGCCGTGATGCTCCTGCCCTGGAACCTGTTAAACATGCTGAACCCTCTAAAATTGTGAGCCAAATAAAACTCTCCTTTAAATCATGGGTATCAGATATTTTTTCCCAGTAATGGGAAAGTTCATTAATACATATTTCATGAGCATCAAATGTGTGGACTCAATATTTAAGGATGAGGGATGGAAATTATTGTAGAAATATTGTCTTGGTTACTTTTCTCTTGTTGCTGGGATAAAATACCCAACGCCCCAAATTAAGCTAACAATTTGTGGGGGTTTCAGTCAATGATCATCTGGCTCTAAAGAAAGGTGGCATGGCACAGGGGCAACACTTCAAGGCAGCAGAAGACAGCAAAAGCAACAAGAGCAAAAGGGAGGGAGAGCAAGCCTTTTTTCCTCCCTTATATTGTAAGCAGGCTCCCTGCCCACATCATCTCTGTGCCTTGTTCTTGCACAGGCTCAGGATGTTTGCAAAGTGAGGACTCTGGCCCCCTGCTGAGTCTCTTAGTTAACCTTCTAAACTTCTCAAGTTGACACAATGTAGAAGCCATAACAATCCATCCCTTGTCAACATGGCAACCAGACACATTTCTTTAAACCATTTTCCAGATACAAAGACATGCTTATTCTTATCATTTCAGAACTTGAACATTGTAACACAGATGTAACAATCCTTAGGAACTAGTAGTAAGTCTGTGGACATTATATTACATTACAACCATTTCATCCCTGGTCCCCTAAAGACTCATGCACCACCCCTTATGCAAAAGGCATTTAGTCCCTCTCTAAGAGTTGCCAAACTCCCAACAGTTTCAGTATTGCTGAAAGGTCCAAGTCCCAAGACTCCTTCGAGATTTAAGGCAAACTCTTAGCTGCAAATCCCTGTACAGATGAAAACAAAGTTAAACACTTCCAACATGCAATGGCATAAGATAAACATTTTCACACCAAAAGTTGCAAATGGGGATACAAAGGATTGAGACCAAAGCATGTCCAAATTCCAATAGGACAAACATCTGAGGCAATCTGTGATGAGTTGTGAACTCCAGAGGGCTTCACTGGCTCGACCCATACAGCACTTCCAGTGGTTCTAGCTCCCACGGCTTCTCTCTTGGGCTCACTCTGCTCCCTCCTTGCAAGTTTCCTCAGACAATCCACATTCCTGGCTTTTCCAAACTTTTGGAGTTTCCATTGCAGCTTCAACTTCACACTCACAGCTTCACACACTGCCCTCTCAGGGGCACACTGCCTGGCCTCCAGGCCTTTTGAAATTGAGGTGGAAGCCTTTTTTAACCCCATAATTCTTGCATTCTGCATGCACTTAAAACCAGCACCATGCTGATGACACCAAGATCTCCTGCCAGGTGGAGCAGTAGCCAGGCTTTCTTCTCTCTTGTCTGTAGGGCTCAATTGCCTGGATTACGGGGCCCTCTGAATGTAATTCTGAAGAACAGATTTTCTATGCTGCTGCCATTCTGAAACCTGGTGCAGCCACTGCCATTCTAGAACATGGTGCTCTGTGGCTTTCTTCTCAAAGCAGTCTTTCACCTTTGCAGTTTTTTTATTTTAAAAAATAAAAGAAGGAAAACATATTAACAGACAGACATCCATTTATAAAATAGCATAAGAACAATACAAACAAAACAGAGGTACAGACAAAGTTGTAGGAAATTAACAGTGGTTGTTGTATTACTTATTGATATCTTCAAAGTGCTTTCTCAGGAAAACAAATAGAGACATACAACATTGATCAAACAAGTAATCATTAACTGTTCCTTTCTGTACAGCAATAATAGACAGTAGTACAACTATGTTAGCTATCCTGTATATACATACATACCCCTTCTTTCTCTTCGTTTTTCCCACACCCCAGTTGCCCTTTACTTTTGAGCATTTTCCTTTCGCTTCACAAGTCTATCATATCTCCTAGTTTTTATTCACTCTGTCAGGTCTTACACTAGTGAGACAATACAATGCTTACACATGCAGGTCTGATTTATTTCACTTATGAGTATGGTTTCCAGTTGTGATCATTTACCTATAAAAGCCTCTAGTTTATCTTTCTTTATAGCTGAGTAATATTCCATTATATAGAAGTACCACAATTTTTTTATACAATCCTCAGTGGATGGACATTTATGTTGCTTCCACAATTTAGTAAATACAAGTTACCCTGCTATGAACATAGGTGCACATATATCGCTATGACATGACGTTTTCAGATCTTCTAGGAAAATACCCAGCAGGGGGATAGCTGGGTTGAATGGGACCTCTAGACCTGGTTTGCTGAGGAATCTCCAAACTGATTTCCACAGTGGTTTCACCAGTCTGCATTCCCACCAGCAGTGGAGAAGAGTTCCTCTTTCTCCACAGCCTCACCAGTATTTGTTATTGGTTGACTTCTTAATGCTAGCCATTCTTACTGGGGTGAGATGAAATCTCAGTGTTGTTTTAATTTGCATTTCTCAAACACCTTTGCAGTTTTGAGGCTGCAAAGTGTTGAGACTTGCTGCTTCTTGTGATGCCCTCAGCCCATCTTTTCAATTCTCTTGTTCCTCCTCAGCAGCCAATATCTCCTCATCTGTCTTTGTAGTCCTTAGCCTTGCTGGAACTTCCTTTCTGGCCAAGCTCAGAATGTTTTAAATCATCCTGCTGGGCCCCTTGCTTTTGATTCACAGCATAAATTTGCCTAAAAGCCAACAATAGCCATGCCACCTACTCAACATTCTAATGCCTTGGAATTTCTCCTGCTGCATTAATTAGTCCACCACCCTTAATCTGTCTCAGGGAAAGTCTCTGAACACAAACAGAGTGCAGACAAACTTTTGATCAAGCTATAACACACATCATCTGGACTCCAAGAGCCAATGCAGTCAGTCTTTCCCAGTAGAAACCTCCCTAACCCGGTTTTTACCAGCAGGATTTCTATCAGCCTGATCTTCTGAGCTCTGAACAGACTTTCTCTCACAGAGCAGCCTAAGGCATTCCAGTTCTACTTATTATCTGTTCACCATTATAGACTGGGCAAGGGATTCTTGCTGGGTGGAAAGCAGCTAATGCTATTATGTGCAGGCATGCACTTTGCCAATAAATAAAGTTGCTGCCACAGAGTCTAAGGTATCTTTTTCAGGGGTCTCCCATTTCTTCATATTTTGAGTCCCCAGTTATAACTATACCAAACTGTGTCAAGATTCATAACTTTCAGTTAAATAATGTAAAAGTTGATAAGGAAAATTTCCTAAGAAACAATATTTTGGAGACATAATGGCATAAACTAATGTATTCCTGAAAACGTTTGACTCGATATCACCCCTCAAACAGACTCCTCTTTCTTCAGGATATTGTCCTTGCTCATTGTCCATATCTCCATTCCTGAGAAAAGAGCTCGCATTTGGTACAGTGTTTCTCTATAGACACAGTATGGAGGACGAAAGAATTAGGGAGACTGAATGACCTCTGGTCCTTGGTTTATGCCCATAGCACTCTGAAGACTAAGCTCAGGAATTCTGAGGCTAGACTCACTATAAAGTTTTTCTGCATGTGACTAGGCAGGTTTGGTGCCCAGAGGCCTCAAGGTGTTCCCAGGCACCATTTCAAAGAACTTAGCTCATGCTGTGATTCTGCTTCAAGTAAGAGCAGAAGAGGATTGGAGTCTTCTCTTTGCTGAAGATATATTTGAAGCACCATTCCCTGCACAAAAATGCAACCCCACATGGGATTGTACAGACAGCCACAGGTGAGAAATGTGATATACAGATGAGTAATATTTCTTCCCTCCCCTTCCCCCTCTCCCTCATACACCATCAAGCACACACTCACACAGGTACACTGCTCTAGGCAGGACTCTAAAACCATAGCTTTATTGGGACCACACCACCTGTCAATAAGAATTAAAATTGTTTAACGTAGTAAATTGTCTTCTTGGCCAGTAACAAGGCCAGGAACTAAACTTGTTGTGATTCATCCAAGAAAGAAACTTGTCAGCTACTGTCATATTTTTGAGTTGGGGTTAGAGGTGTGACCGGTGTCAGCATCCCAATATCACAACACAGGTACTGTTCATTAGGGCTGTGCTGTTTTCTTCCTTTCCATCTCTCATAATCTTATTAACTTATGAGCTTCCTGATCTATCTTAACTTCCTTGTTCCTACGGCTTCACGGAACAATCTTCCAACCTTTGCTATTGCAAACCCGATACCCCTGCAAGGGCTTCCAGATCAAGCCTGCTTGTCTGGTAGTGAAATGACTGAATAGAGATTATTTCACACTCTCATCAACTGCCTTGGTATCACGGAGCTTGGGAAAGCTGTGAAAATAGGAGAGAATGTGGTTCCCTTCAAACTTCACAATGCAGTGTTATGTTGGTATTGATAGAAATCCAAAGAAAAATATAAATGGCCCCTTCGTGGCACTCCTTCACCTTGTTCATCTCCGTGCCAACCTTCCTCTAAACAGCCTTTGTCTCATCTTATAGCCAACGACGGCTTAATCATAAATGGTGGTCTTTTAAAAGAGAAATCAGTTATTTCAGATATTTGGTGACTTTTTCTTAACACCTTGAGTTAGAAAAACATAAGTATTTGAAGGTAGAAGAACTCTAAAAGCTAGTTCTTTTATATACATTGATCTTATTTATCAAGAAAATAAACCACATTACTTAGATTTATTTTTCTCAATTTTGCAGAAAAAGAAACTGATATGGAAAGCAAGTCTAAATGGTTTCAAAATCCAGAAGAATATTCTTAATATTTCTGCTAGAGTCCACAGTACAAAAATACAGCAGCATAATAAGAAATCACAAGTGCCACAATCGGAGCATTTGGGGGCACTGAAATATAATCTCTAATATCAATCCTGCTTTCAACGTGAACTGTGGAGCTGGCGTCTTCATCAGCCTGCACATCTAGAACAGAATAAACTTACTATTTTGCCCCCACAAATGATATGCAAATACTGACCACACACATCCTGCCACTGTTTTTGATACACAAGTGTATCAGAAGGAAAACAACCATTTGGCCAAACTTGCAAGCGCTGGTGTCCTGATGACTTTGAACTGTACTATGAAAGACTAGTCCTTATACCATTGTCCTGCAAACTTTAGCCTCTACTAGTAAAGCGTCATATTGAAAACCTCCACCCTGAAAGTGAAGCTGACTCTGGTTTTAAATCCCATGCTGTATAATCCTAGCTACTTCTTCAGACTTTTCTAAGTCAAGTTCCATGAACACTGATTTCTCAGTCTGGCATCTGCCCCTTAGCAATGGCATAACTAGTGCTCTTCCTCATATGTGGACAGGTTTCTCTCCAGCTTTTCTAGGGTTAAAAGATACTATTTTTCTTCTATAGAACAGGGAATTATTAACTCCCTTGCTTGGGCATTTCTTCTGTGTGGTAACTGCCCAGCAAATTTACAGAAAACTGACATATAGAACAATGCATATAATATCATCCTTCATTCTCTGCCTCTGCCCCCCTCCAAACACACACACACACACACACACACACACACACACACACACACGGAACCAAATCCTCATGTGCCACTGTTAAGGATATTAAAATTAATATCCCCTTGATCTTTACCCTGCATAATAGCTATTCTGTATCTAAATAATGAACTCATAGGATGGTTATTGCTAAAGAGTTTTACAGCGTGCTGGGGACAGAGACAGTTAAAAGAAGATAATTTTCTTTGATATTTTCTGAGGATTAGGACTATCCCTTAACCACTTTAATGTTAGTGTCACTACAATTTGTTAGCAATTTGATCTGTTCATATCTGAAGTTAACCAAATTTTAGGACATAAGTTTAACTGTGCATGTTATTTATTAATGTTATATGTTGTAAGGAGGATAAATACACTTTGGTAAGTAGTTTCTTTTTTCTAGAATGATATGTAGAATAAATAGGAAGTTGGAGGCTTTGGAAAATAAAGAAGTTATATAAGATGAGAAAATACTTTTAAAATAGCTGTCTTCTCAAAGAATAAACAGATTGGTTGAAGCAGCAGAGCTACTGTAGAGAAAATTCGAAGGCAGGACCTCTGATTGATTGTCCTTGTGAGACTATTCTAGATCCAAGATGTAAATGCCTAAATTTATATCAAATTGGAATACTGATGATGGTGTGAAGCATCAGTTTTCAGCAGACCACACTTTGAGAAACATTAAACATGATAGTTTTCCCAAATTAAAGAATGATAGGGAATGCCATAAAATGCGAGTATACACTACATCATGAAATATTTCTAGTTCTTTTGAAAATCTCATAAATTAGAAAAAAATGACACTGTGAACAATGTTGCCAGCAATGGATTCAAAATAACCTGTGTTGAACGATTTGCACAATTATCTTTGAAATTAAGAGGATCTCTAATGTTTATAAAGTACTTTTACCATTACATCCTGCACACTGATTCATATTTTTCTATCCCTCCAGGGCTTTGAAAAGAGAATATCTTAATGAAATGTGGACCTTCTTACTTAACAGAAATTCTTTGACACTTGCTAGGAAAACGCCATCTATCAATGATACCCAGTTCCACCCACCCATCTTTATCCTGCTAGGGATACCAGGACTGCAGACTGCACATATCTGGATTACTATACCATTCTGCATCGTGTACCTGACATCCCTTGTGGGCAGCATCACGATTCTTTTTGTGATCAAGACTGAACACAGCCTCCATCAGCCCATGTTCTACTTCCTGGTCATGTTGTCTCTGATTGGTCTGGGCCTATCCACATCCACCATCCCCAAAATGCTGGGCATCTTATGGTTCAGTCTCCAGGAGATCAGCTTTGGGGGCTGCCTTGTTCAGAGTTCTTCATCCACATGTTTACAGGCATGGAGACAGTGCTACTGGTGCTCATGGCTTATGATTGCTTTGTTGCCATTGGCAACCCACCCCCGTATACAATGATCCTCACAAATAAAACCATCAGCATCCTCATCTCTGTTGTTGGAAGAGATATAATTCTAGTGACCTCATTTGTGTTTCTCATGCTTCAACTACCTTTCTGTGGGCATCACCTCATGCTTCACACCTACTGTGAGCACATGGGTCTTGCCCAGTTGGCCTGGGCACCCATAAAAGTGAACATAATCTATGGGCTCATGGTGATTTCTAACATCATGGTGGATTTGATCCTGATCACCTCTTCCTATATATTTACCCTTCAAGCTGTTTTCCTCCTTCCATCTCAAGATGCTATGCTGAGAGCTCTCAATACTTGTGGTTCCTCTGTCTGTGCCATGCTGTGCTATTACACACTAGCATATTTTTCATTTATGACACACCGCTTTGGCAAAAATACTCCACGTTATATTCATATTCTTTGGGCTAATTTACACATGGTTGTCCCACCTGCCCTTAACCCCACTATTTATGGAGTCAGAACCAAGCAGATCCAAGAACGGGTTGTAAAGACATTTATGCAAAAAGAATAATTCTGTATGAAGTTGGGGTAAACATATCCAGTTAAACCCCAAGCTATGAAAATCTGAACTCCCTTTTAAATCTTTTACAGATGTAATTTATAGTGACAGCATTTTTCATTTTGATTGGAGTTGATTTAGTATTGGCAGATACACAGAACTATCTGCTGTCCATTCTCCCATCTCCCACTGTGTACATGAACAAAAGTTAGAGATTAACACACAAGATGCTGGAGGTGATGGAGTTGGAGTAGAATTATTGCAACAAAGGATGAGAATTCTCATTTCCTTATGTGTCTCCTCTCTAAGTAAGTTTGGGTCTTAATAACATTTTATAGACAAAAAGACAAGACTTACTCTAGGGACTAATGATAGTGTCTGAATCAGAACATCTACTGCTCCACAGCTTCCTAGTCTTTATGTTAATCACTAATTCGTCTTTATCTTTAGAATCTTTCTTTTATTTTTATTTTCATGTGCTCAGTATTCATATTATGTCATTCTCACTTCTTTTCTGCCTTTGGATGCTTTCCTGCCCCTATCCCTTTTCTTCATTTTTTCTCCAGGAGACTAGGTCTCAGTGACCAAAGACTTTGAGAGATGATAGGCTGGCATTAAGGAGACATTGTCCAGTTTTCTAACTTGTCATTAAAATGCAAAGTCATGTTAGATGTGAATAATTGTGTGTACCTGTGTCTCATTCTAATTATATTCCTATAATTTCCTTGTTGGATATATCACTTACCTTCAGATATACAGGAATTCATACAATTTAGAAGAGAAAGTCAGATTTATTCTATGGCCTAAACACAGACAAGACTTTATTACCAATCTCAAAATACTTTTAGCTTAATTTATTACTCTTACAGATTTCCAACCCTTAGTCCCTTTTACAAACTCAAGACTGGGGAATGTGATTTGCTTTAAAATATGTCAAAATGCAAAAGAATTAAATTATGACTAATTAGAGAACTCTTGCTTAGAAATCAGAAGTGATCATTCTGTCCTATATTTTGGAACCATTCTGTAAGTCTTTAACTAAAAACTACACCAGCGTAGGTAACTATGAAATAGTGGTAGATATAAAATAGCAAATTTACTCATTTTTTGTGTATGTGGGGAGCCCTTGATATGAAAGTTGACAAGGACTGAGGACAACTCCTGCATATTGTAGCACCTTGTGGAATTTTCTGTATCTATGTATATATTTTAATTTGATTTTTACAGCCTCTGCTACTTAAACCTAAAATTTTAGGGAAGGTCAAATTTTAAAGATAGAAATACATGGAAACTGACCTATATCTTTTACCTAGCAAATAAAAATAAACTTCAATTAAACAGTCACTTGTGTACATAAAAATGAAATGTCCCAAATCACATTATCTTCATGTAACAAGAGAAGGAAGATCATGCAAATAAATTCTTTTGCTGAAAACTCTAAACTCTCGTAGGAGATTTGAGTAGGAAATGTATGTATGCGAGGTCAGTGGAAGTGTCTAGAAAGTGGAGGCAGAGGACAGCCTAGGGTTGGTGTTGATAATGAGAAAAAGGAGACAATGGAAACTGTATGCGGGAGGAGGAAGAGAACGAAAGAGTGGCTGAACCTGGTCCAGCCTTTGCCTCTATGAGCCACAGTAGCAGTGAATCACCAGTGTCACACTTGGCCACCAGTGTCTGTACCACACGTGGACATGCTAACTAAAATGAATTTCTTTGGGAGATGTTAACAGGTCTCGGGCACACATAAGACAACTTTCTTTTTAAACATACTTATGAGAGTGAGATAGGGAGCTAGACAAACATGACAGTGTGCACAATATGGATTAGAATGCACAGCAAAGCTGCCTCTGATGTGGCTTATAATCAAGCTACAATACCATGTGAGACCCGGCTGAGTAGAGTCCCTGTCTTGGGCCCTCTTGTCAGGTGACCTTTGTGCTTTGGAGTGGTTTCCTCAAATGTGTCTACACCCACTTCTGGTGCTGGGACAGCAAGACTCCCTGGGCAGGGTGGTCTCAGCCTGGACCCAACATGCACAGTCCTAAGTCTCCTCTACAGACCACTCTGTTCTTCTTCCTTCCCCCACCAGCATGTGGAGTTGGCCATGTTGACTAAGAAGCTCCATTATCCAAGCCTGATGGGCTGTCATAGGCTCCCACAGCTGAGACCACATTTCAGGAGAGTGGCTTGATGAGCACAAGAAACTCTCACTGAATTGCATAGATATTTGTTTCATGAAATCACGTACGATGAGGCCACAAGAATGGTGCTGACATGCTGATTGGGGGTTATTTTCACTCATATGAGAAATGGGATATATTCAGACCTTTAGTGCACCAAATATCCACTGCCAAACCATGGGCTTGGGCCGTGTGAGGTCTGTACACTGGATCTCACCCATCTGTGTTCAGATGTCCATGCTGCCTTCTACCTTCAGTGACACAATGGCAGTGGGAGCAACAGACGTCATTTACTTCATCCCCCATCCCAACCCTGACACTGGTAACCAGAGTGATCATTTCAGCCTCTCAGCAAGCTTCATGTCACCTGTCTGGCACTCACACAGAAGTGCCTGCACTTGTCTCTACAGACCAGACACTTGCAATCTACATCTTGTTTTATGCCCCATTGATGCCTTGTTCTCCTACGCCAGTGTTAAATAGTTCCAGATGAAGTAGTGTCATTCCTTGTATAAATGGGAGTGTTCTTCTCACTCTTCTCATACTCCCAGCTGTGACGAGAACAATACTCATAATCTCACCTGGTGACACTCTGTGAAAGAAAGTGGTGTGGTCCACTTTAAAAAGAATCATCTAGAAATGCAGTATTTTATAAGCCTACCAAGAATCATGAGAATTGAAGAAACATTGTACTTTCTAAAGTTTCAGTTAATATTGTAATTCAAAAAAGTTGATATCATAATGTATAGTAAGATATATCACTTTTTATAGGGAATATCATAAGCGATCATGGAAAGTCACTAATCTTTTGTCCTTTATACTCATCATAAAATAAATCAGTGCTCCTTGAAGAGAAGACGTTTTTAGTCTTAATCTTATGGAAGTAAATATATACCTAAAATATCATGAAAAATTGCAGCTAGCAGTGATAAGTCACAGGGAAATTTTCAGTATTTGTTTTTTTAAGTAGTTGATATGATCATTATATATCCATATCCCTTAAATGGCAAGCAAATTGTCCTTGATTTACCTCATGTTTATTGAGCATCTACTTGCTGTGTTATCTAGCTCCCAGCGAGAACTCACTGAACATAGATTGAATCAAGGAATGTCGTCTTGGTAGATGAGCATTCCTGACATCTAGTGGCCAAACCAAATATATATCTTGAACAAGGAACTGACAGTCCTTTATTTGAGCAATCTAGTAAACTAAATAGTGAATGTACTTGTTTTATTTCTTAATTTATGTTGGTTATTGAACACCATTGAAAGATAATGAAATAAGGAATGAGTTTAAACAGAAGTTAAGCTAAAAGGTGTGTTGCTAAGTAGTTGTGAAGAAAAAAAATAGATTAGCAAATTATGTCTGAGGATTAAGCCCAGTAATTTTTCAACTGTCCTGCTCAAATCAGTCTCCATCCCTGGCAGTACTGTACAAGATATCATCCTCATTCTGGGTATCAGTGGTGACACTCCTACCAGTCAGCCACAAATGCACTTGGGGTCTTTAATGTGCTTTGGACAGTACAACCAGAGTGACATTTTTTCTTGCAATTTGGATCCTGTTATCTGAAGCTTAACAGCCTGCAGCCTCTTCCATTGTTTCTAAGATAAATTAATCACAAGGACGTTATCTTTTCCTACTCATCTCTCATCTCGTCCACACTGTGCTTTCTTTTTACAGCCTGATCACACTGACCTTTGCTCCCTCAGATCTGCCAGGCCATTCCCCACCATTCAGTCTTTATGTATCCTATTTTTCTAACTAGAAAAGCTTTTCCCTCCCAACCTGCTCTTCCTTTTATGGATTCTCATTATTTAGCTATCAACTAGTTAATACCTCCTCAAAAAAATCATTGCTTATATACCTCGCTCTTAGGGTCGGGTCCAATATCTCTTTTTTGTAGCTCTATTTCTCCTTTACATTTAAGAGCACCAAGCACTCTTATTTTTTATTTTAAAAATTAAACAAACTAACAAAACAGCAATGAAGACAAAATCAGAAAGACACAAAAACAATACACGACCTCAAAACAAAATGATAGGAATTAACAAAGGTTGCTACATTACACACCGTTATCTTCAAAGAAGTTGCTCAATCCACCAGACATAAGAATGTAAGATTGATCAAACAATCAAAGACAGTAACAAGTAATAAAAAACACTGGAAATGATGCAGAGCTTCACCATACAAGATGGCAGGAGTTCAACAATGGTTTTTATACTGCATATTGTTATTTCCAGATCAGTCATTCTGATTAGCAAATACAAATGAAGCACCCTTATTTATCATCTCTGCAAATGGGGGCAGAATTCCCAACCTCAGATCATCTGTTTTAATCTTTTAAAGAAAATAATACTCATAAAGCCCTGAGAAAGTTTCTGACAGAGTCAGCTAAACTTTCTCCCATCCCAACACAATCAGAATTGTTATTCTTTTTAATAGAAAGTGAAGTTAAAATAATTCTCTGATAGATTTGGTGCTGAAACAGATCATAGAGGTGAATAGAAAAGTGATTCAAGGTAAGGGTCATTGGGGGTGGAATATACTGACACTGGCTTTCATATACTCAGATCACATAAGGAGAAAAAGCCTGAATTAATACAAATCAGGAAGTTAACAAATCATAAAGTAGCTTTCCTCTCTTCAGTAGAATGATGACACATATTTGAAAGCAAATCCACAGTATACTATTTTAGATAATTGAACACAATATGGTCGTGTGCCAATCCAGTGTCACCCGCCACTCTATACTTCCAAATCAGTTCTTGAGGCTTGTGTTACAATCAAGTGACAGGGATATTTTTGTTTCAAATTAGTATCACCACATT